ATATTCGCATGTATCGAATCAAGTACAATAGATTTTAACAGGCTTGATGCTATGGACAGACTTATATTATATATCTAGATGCAGCAACTCTTGCAATGTAAGAAAAGGTAAATACATAAAAGGCCGTTTTTTTATTAGAAAAAATGCCAAAATTCATGATTATCCCTACTTGATGGTATACTGTACTATCTCTTGATGTTTTAAGTAAGTAATTAGGGTGTTAATTTTCAATCCATACCCTTTTCTTTTTTTGTAATATGTTTAATAGTATCATGTACAATTGAGTGAGTTTGCAAAGTTTTTTTGCCTACATGTATGCTCAATTTTAAATCAGCGAACCATTTTGAAGTAGCTAACTTGTAATTCCGTGTTGCCGTAAATAGCTCAGTCATCAGCTTGCCACGGTTCAGTGGGTTTTAAAGCAATCTAAAGTCTCACATGTTTCAGTAATGAACTTTCCTTTTTTGGAAACAAAATTAGCTCAGTGATGGTTGGGTGTTAGATTTTTCCTGGCAGTTACGCTTGAGCTGAAAATTACATACGACAATCATGACGGCAGAGCGTACCTTGTCTCTGATATCTTCTTCAACATGGGAATATGCACACGTCATGGAATTTTGTGGGTTTGAAATATTTTTTGTCTGCTTCAATCAAATTAAAACATGGGAATATGCACACGTCATGGAATTTTGTGGGTTTGAAATATTTTTTGGGTTGCTTCAATCGAATTAAGAGCACTTAAGAGGATTGAATACAGTCGATTAAACATTCCGCAAGAATGGTTTCATATGAAAATGGACAATGACGCAAAAGGAAGGGTCTGACATCATTTTCACTTCGCAAAAATATATAGGATAGAATGAGAATATATTTAAGATAATTCTCTGGCATACACTCTTATGCATATAAGCATTCATTTTTTTTGTTTATTTTTTAATCTAATTCAATCTAAGAAATTATCATTAAAAGACATACATCTGAATTATACAAAAACAATTGATAGAATCTAAAATGATATCATTTAGTTGCATGGAAAATTTTGCAGATTGGATGGCAATAAATTGGCACTATAACCTTGAATTATGATGTACAATTTGGGTAGTAGTTTTTGTCAGACTTATAAATTACCCTTGGCTGTTAGTTTTTCCTGCTGTAACACCACATCTGTCATTACATGAACCCAGTGTTTTAGAAGTCTGCCCTGTGATCATAGTTTATGACTGATTGTGGTGGGTGGTGTATGACATTTCCTACTCTTTGAAGTCTGAGACACCTCCTGGTCATGTAATATTATGGCAGGGCTGGAAATACATGTACATGTACTGGGTGCACGTGCACCTTATTGCACCTGAATTTGGAGCTGTGCACCCAATTTTTTCTATGGGTTCACCCAAATATTTTAAATTTCGAAGGTTTACGTAATACTGCATAATGTAAAGATGTTCAATGTATAGTTACTGTACACAGCATATTCCTAAGTAACAATTAATAATAAGATCCAAGTATCAGAAAAATAATAAACTCATTACGGTTATATACTTTTCTTTCGAAATGAAACGTAATTATTTTTTGCTGACATTCTACTTCTCTAGTTTATATTATATGGTGCACCCCAAAAACTTTTTGTGCACCTAATTTTTAGGTTGGTTGCACCCGTGCACCTATTCCCAAAAATGAATTTCGATCCCTGTATGAGATGGAAGCAAACGGAAGGACTGATACGAAGACTGATAATATCAAAGTGTCCTTTCATTAAATATAATTATAATAATTCAGTCTATGTTTTATGATTCTGATTTAAAGCATCTGATTTTCTCTACTTAATAAGCAATCCTCTGTCTTTAATCTTTGACATCTGATGCATATCCCCTCATTTTTCAAACCTTAGGCTAGATGTTATTAGATAATAAATGTATGTTTCATTTATACAATGTTTTAAGAAGGATGAGAACAAGCGAAGCTTTTCCATCTGTTGTGATTTTTATAATGGTTTATGAATGAAAACCTCTATTGCACATTTCTGTTACACCAGGCTATAACTATACTGTAACAGTACACTAGGCCATAATGAAACATTAAACTTTGCATTAGTACCCTTTTTTATCACACTTATACTGGTACAAATGTAGGCTTTTAAAGCATTAGTTACGTAGAGATTATTTGCATGCAGGTGCACCCACTCACAGTTAGGCCCATTTCTTTTGGGGGAAATGGCCAGTTTAAGGAAATAAAATTTAAGGCATTTGTCTGTGGAGCTAAGACCAACATTTACACTATTTTACCTCTTAAACTTTACTGCCTCTTAAACTTTACTGTCTTACTTTACTGGCAGTTGAGATAGGAGACCATTTAGGATCCAGCTGACAGGATTAGGGCATTATGGATGCCATGACTGCCTTGAATTTTAAATTTTTAGGTCACACACAGCGAGTGCAGAGTGTTTTTGTCAAATGTCAGATCATAGCATCACTGATATCATAGAGAATCCCCTGTACAAATTGCACTACATGTTGGTGACTTTCACACAACCCCCAGGCACCATTGACACACATAACACCAACACTAGAGGCTGACAGAAATAGACATGACTTTACAGTGCTGGAATAACAAGTTTACACAAGGCACAGCTTGACGTAAGCACTGTTTGTCCCACATCTAAGTGTGAACCGGCTGGTCTTTGATATGTCAACCATTCTGCCAGTCTATACTTCCAGTAGGTACCATATTGAGATCATGACCCCATTTCAAAATGGTGAATTAAAAGAGTTTGTTCTACTGACACAGCACCGGATACCCTCAAATTATGCACACGTATCTAGATATGACATTTCCGAGAAGGCCATGAAATACTCTTTTTTATATTATTATAATTGTGGTACCTTGCAGAGCTATGAGAGTATAACACTGCACAGTCAAGTTTGAAGTTTATTTATTTCACCAGGGCATACATGTACCTCAGATCCATTGATCTGTTTTTCAGGTATCCCTGGGCATTGTGCATTAAAACATACATTCATAAAAATTACACGTTGAACACAACACAGTCACAAGTCGGTATCATCTTGCCTTTTAAAAGCAGATCTTATTCTAGAAACAAATGTGACTCAGCCCTTTAGGCCAAACCAATTTAATTTGTTGGTTCTCGGATTTTTTCAGAAAAAATATGAAGCGACAGGGCGGAAAAAAAAAACAGGTCTAGGCATCCTATTATAGCCCCAAATGCTACAATATGAGCCATGAAGTGACAACACAAAAGGCTGGGTTAAAATTTAAAGTATAAATTTGAACTTTTAATCAAATCACTGCATTGATAGATGGAAAAACTGTAACAACTAGGAAGAAAAGGAATTTCCTCAACTGTTGGGGGCAAAATATGAGCATTTTTGAGTTGATTCAGAACCAGAATCTTTTTTTTTTTGCAAATCAGAAAAAAATGAAGAGGCGAATCCGAGAACCAACAAATCAAATTGGTGTGGCCTTCTGCTAGTAACAATTTTGTTCAGTCAAAGTTACAAGTTTGTTATCTCTTGAAGTGCCAACACATTATTGATAGGTCCAGCGAAAAAGCTTGGCAGCGACATCGCATCAGCAATCTGCAGAATTACAATGGCCAACAGCAGGACCCAGATGGATGAATTGTTGGATGGGCATTTTGCCATGATCATGCTGATCTAAAGCCAGCTAAATGAAGGAACATTACTTCAGCAGCTTACTAGTCAAATCAGCATCTCCAGTCAATATCATGTGGAGTATTTCATGTATGGATGTTTGCCAAGTGTGGATGTTGGACATTAGTCTTCTTCAAAACCATTATCACTGAGTGGTTATCTGGCATTGGGAAATACTATCGTAATGCCTTTTCAAAAGACTGTTTCAAGGATGAGTATAGAGACTTTGAGATTGGGATATAGTCGAATGTTAGTTGTCCTGTTATCTGAATATGTCAAAAAAAGAAATTTTGGACATAAATTCTTCTTCAAAACCATTATCAGTGAGTGCTGATCTGGCAATATAATGGGAAATAATGCCTTTTTAAGAGATTGTTTCAAGGTTGAGTAAAGTTTATATAATAATTGATTCTAACTGGAGGGGACATAGTGGAATGTTAATTTTCCTGTTATCTGAATATGTCAAAAAAGAAAGTTGGATATAAAGTCATAAAACCATTATCATTGCTTACCTAGCTGGCATGGTAAATGATATGCCTGTTAAAGAGACTGTTTCAGGCCTGGCTACAGTACATGATTCTAATTAGAGGGGACTTACATGTAGTTGATTTATAATTATGTTGATTTTCCTGTTGTCTTAATTTGTGTGTTGACTGTTGTCTTAAAATGTGTAATAAATGCCAGTGGACAAGGGTTAACGTTAGTTTCAGCACCAAGGACAGGGCTGAGTTTTTTCTAGGGCCATATTCTAGACTAACTAATCTTCTGTTCTACTAAATTGCCTAAAAAACACATTAAGCACTACTTATTAAGCATTTACCACTTCTAATTATGTATCATACAGTCATGCAGTTGTCGGCTTTCAGCACTAACTTTATATTAATTTTGTAACAAAGTTTGAGCAGCATTGCATTAAGGGCTTCCAATGCAATTTAAGGGTAGCAAAACTGGATTTTGAAAGACACTTCTTTTGTCATTGTCTTAATTAAGTTGAATCTATCCTGCCCCCATAGCATACTGATATCTGTGAGGCAAAAATGTGATGTCACTGACAGAAAACAGTAGCTTGTTTTATATTGTAGGCTGGTTTTTGCTATATATGGGCAGTACTCCCTCATAAGAGATCCCTCATATATATGTAGTTTGTTTTTTGACTACTTAAAACACTTTTAATAGCAGGCAGATTTCCTTATCCAGAATATTTTGTGTTTTGCCTCCCTAAAATTGCATCGGATGCCTTTAACCCATGGATGCCTGAAGACGCCACTGGGTCTTACCTGATTTTATTCTTGACTGATGAACTCACAAGAATTTTCTCCCTTTGTTTTGTAGGCACAAAGGTTTCCTTAAAGACTGTCCAAACGGGACACTAAATGAAGAGGTAAGTATCTGTTTATACTTTATGTCATGCAACAATGAACATATAGTGGACAAATTATGTTTGCAGATGTTTAAAAAAGAAAAGAAACAGCGATTAACAGTAGATGATAAGTACATATAGTATTATTTTGTAATACATACATGTGTATTTTTAAAGACTTTTAGCACTTAGAATTAGAATGTAGTGGATCAGTATTCAATACTTCATGTTCTGTATCCTCTAGTCTTACCTCTTTTGTTCACTTGTCCATTTATTTCATCTGGGCAGGAATATGCAATAAAAATTCATTAATAGTAAACTATTTGACTGGTTTTGACTGAGATTTTGATTATTGCAGCAGCTACTTAATGGTCATCATAGGACTTTAGCTACATCCATGAAAACTTTGAATATTAAGCTGCAATGGAATTGTTAAATATCTATGAAAAAGACTTCTTTTATATTGTAATGAAATCCACAATTCAGCAAAATGGCTGTGAGTGATCTTGACCTGAATAAACCATTTATTCATTCATCCATCATGTATGATTCAGTTCTTTGTTTTATAGTTTGCTTATTTATTGATTGTTCTCTCTTTTTTCTTTGCAGGAATTCCAGAAAATCTATAAACAGTTCTTCCCGTTCGGGGACCCCTCGAAGTTTGCATCATTTGTCTTCAAAGTTTTTGATGAAAACAAGGTAATATAACATAGTAATATATATGTGTCCATAGTATCACCAGGGTCCATAATATCGCCACCTTGAGAAAAAGTGTGCTTTAAGATATTTTTACTGCAACATACCCTAGGTATGTACATTTGAGGTGTGCAGGAGTGCATACTAAAAGTATGTTGCAGTAAAAATATCTTAAAGCACACTGTTTCTCAAGGTGGCGATATTATGGACCCTGGTGATACTATGGACATGGATGTTATATATTACTATGTTCTCTTGCTACTGTCTTTATTAATAGTATTAGTGATTGATTTTTCAATATTCTAAGGGTATATAAACTGAAGGTAATATTTTACTTTTTTCTTTGATGTTCTCTTAGTACTGTCTGAAGTTTATTACTAATATCAGTGATCGATTTTTCAATGTTCTAAGGCTATATTAAGGAAATATTTCATGTTTTTTTATTTGATGTTCTGCAAAAGCAGTATAATTTTTCATCTTACAAAAAAGTACAAAAAATCAGGCTGTGTAACTTGACCACAGACAAGAGGTTGTATTGACAAAAAACTGAACAGACATAAAAATGGGCAAAAACAAACTACCGGTAAATATTGGAATGAGATGAACCAGTACAGAAGTCAGATGAACCAGTACAATCCACACAATCAATGAGATTCTTTAAGAGCGGTTTGTACAAACATTTCTACTAGCACTTGTGTAACAGGATTGTTTGTTTTTAAATAATTCTATACTGTAATTTTGTAAATTTGTTGTAGATATTGTCTAGTGATTCTGTCAAGTATTATACGTATATTTGTGAATGAATGCCAGGAAGACTAGCGGTGGACCCTTGGATCCTTGGACCCTTGGGCCCACCGCTAATGGTTATTCTAAATTAAGTTTAAAAAAAGTTGTGACTAATGAAGTGATGCCCTTTATCTCCAGGACGGCACAATAGAGTTCCGAGAGTTTATCTATGCCTTGTCTGTAACGTCCAGGGGCAGTCTGGAGGAAAAACTAGAATGTGAGTATCGACATTTTTTTTTTTGTTTCAGACAGTTAGCGACCCCTTGCCAAAGTGGTCTGCTATGCAGCATTACCCCCTGAAACATTCATCCTGCATTACAGCCAGTATAGTGCCTAATTTCACAGTAGATTATGACTGTCCAAGGCACCTCCCTCCACTGTCAACTCTGCAGTGCCTTGAACCAATTAGTTTGCCTTTCCCCTGCATTAATGCCCTCTGTCACAGTCTTCGGTTATGGTTGACCCTTACATTAGCACCAGGCTCAAGTAAGCACAATCCTCAACCATTTAGAACATCCTGTGTCAGCAACTGACGTCCCACCGCCTCTGAGCAGGCCTGACTGACCTAATTCAGTCTATAACCTGCCTGGCCTGAAACAGTCTGAAGTTTGTCCCCCTTTTACACAGGGTATATTTTCAGAAATTCTGTTGCAATTCCAACCTAAAAGAACATACATGAAGTTGCATTTAGGACTTCTTGCCATTATACTTCAACCACCAACACCGTACATGAACCACTATCCTCATACCAAATTTTAGGTCCTTTATTTGACCTAATATGAAGACACAGGAGCAAATAAGTTACAATATACTTTTTAGGGACTATTTTTTTTACTAAAAAAGCTACATTGAATTATTTTAGGGCCTGCATCCAAACAATTAAACCAAGAATACCTGTGGAAGTATATTCCCAAGCTCTGTTAAAATTTCAAGACATTTGGTAAAAAAATGTGGTGCCTGGTAGCAAATGTCTAACAAGAAGTGGAGAGAGAGAACACAATGTAGGACCAAGACAGCTTAG